CTCAAATAATCAAGCAGTAAATTATCATTAAAGATAGTTATAACTAGTAAACATGCAAAGGCATAATAGAGATTAGCATATATGGCAAGGTAAGCTAGACCAAAGAAGTCATTCATCAGAAAACCTATTAGGTAATGACATACAAGTGTCTTGTCAGTAGGTTGAATTCATGAGATATTGCGGCTATCATTAGGTGGGATTTATCAGGAAGGTTATTAAAATGTCTAAAATTTTTAATTCGGGTTTGGTATTTATTTGCCGCGGTTTTTTCTTTGCCGCGTCGAACGAGAACGTTGACAGTTCGTGGGCTCTGTTGTGGTAACCGCAATGAACTAATGACATGATGACTGTATTTGTGCACTTGCGTTGACAGAACGTGCTGTACTGTAATTAGTACACCGACAGTATGATGGATGGGCGGATTGCGGTCAACTTTGCTGGGGTTTCGCGCTTTTAGGGACTTTTTATGTTACTAATTCGCACATTGGTGTAATTTTCAGTTACATTAGAATTCCATTCTACACCAAGGAAACTGTAATCACCCGTTACGCTTACCATGTGGTCAGGATATAGTGATCCAAGATAAGTGACTGTATTAATAGTGAGTGACTGTACAGTTTTGATCAATCAAGTTTTATTACAATAAAAAGGTGGAAATTAAAGTAACAATATAATGAAAAATGGGAGAAAGTTACTGATGACAGCTTTCCCCGTAGTGACGATAGAACTAAAATGAGTACATTGTAGTGTGACGTCCTCTAGCGGAAGTATTGGCAAACTGTATTCAAGGAGGTCATCTAGTGGATAAGTTTGGAACTTTTTTTGAATGAAGAAAAAAAACTTGGACTGTTTGATGTACACTTAATATCATGCAAAAAAGGAAAACATTGTTATACCTCCTCTAGCCAGTCCCCTTAAGTAATAATTATAACAAATCCATTCCCCTTTCTTTAACCCGATCCCCTTTTCCTTTGCCCCTTCGCCGCCTCGCCTTTCTTCGCTTCCTCTTCTTCTTATTTCCAATCACTCAGCCCGGCCGACACCCACAAATCCGCATACGCGAAAACCGAACCGAGTCGAAAAAAGGAGACTACAAGTGTCGGTTCGTATCAGACAAGTCCGAGACGGTCGGAGAAAGTCCCTCGAGTGAAGGCGGTTGTAGGCGCAAGACGTGACAGTTGTCGCGCGCCCCCTGAATACCAACGGCCGCCGCTCCCGCGATTGTGTGCCCCCGGCCTCGGTCTGATTTTGGTGCCGTACCCTGCAACCATATGTGCTGGGAAATTTACATAGAATTTTGCCGGCTTCCGAGAAGCTGCGCCGCCCAGGAAAACGCAAATCACGCCGAGTCGGGCTAAAATATTGCTTGGCTTTGAAACGGGGTTTGCTTTTTTTTGTAGACACATAGGTACGTGGTGGAAATTCAAAACATGATTTTTTTAGCTCCGGAATCCAGAAGGCATGTGGGTGGATATAGTTTATTTATTTTTAGGTAGAAAGATTTTCTTAAAAAATTGGTGCAAATTGTTTACTTTTCTGTCTCTCTTTCGGTTTTTTTTTTTTAATTTCAATCTGTCTTTCTCTCTGTTTCCTTCTCTTTCTTCCAGTTTTTTGGTCTCTGTGTTTTTCTTTCTCTTGCTCCATTCTCCCATCTTCCATTTGTCTTCTTTCTGTCTTGATTTATGTTTTTTCTGTCTTATTTCTTTTCGTCTCCAGCTCAGATCAGGTTGAATCAGGTCATGTTATGACAGGTCATGTCACGTCATATCACGCCACATCATATTAAGTCAACTCAAGTTAGGTCAGATCAAGTGAATTCTTTTCTATTTCTTCCTTTCTATCTCTCTGTATTTCGGTCTCTTCACTTCTTTCCGTATTTGAGTGTCCCTCTTCTTTCTAGTTCCTTGTTCCCTCTTCCCCTTTTTTTATTTTCTTCTTTTCTCTCTCGCTCTATCTCCCTTCTAATCTTTTGGTTCCTCTTCCTGTCTTCTTCATTTCTTTGTTATTTCTTTCGGTTTTCGTGTTTTCTGTTTTAGCCTCCTCCATCTACTTACTTTCTATGTTCATTTTTTCTGTTGTGTTCCTTTCTGCCTTACATACTGTTTTCTTGTCTTTATTCTTTTTGTCTTCTTTTCTGCCTTTTCAGTTTTTCCCGTTCTCTCGCTCCACTTCTGTCTTTCCACCTTCCAGTCTCCATGTATTTCGTTACATGTGGCTTTTTGTCTCACTTTCTCTTTTGCAATTGCTTGGTCTCTCTGGCTTTCTTTCTCTTCCTCCGTTCTCTCTTCTTGTTGTATGTTTTGTTGTTGGCTTCCTTTCTTTGTTATTTCCTTTGCTCTATTTTTTCCTTCTTCTTTTCTGTGTCACCCTCTTCAATTTACTTATGTCTTGTCTTTTTCTCTTTATTATTTTACTTACTATTTTGTGCCTTTCTGTTTTAGATTCTATTTTCTTATGTCTGTTTTTTTGTCCTCATTCTTTTCGTCCTCTTTTATACCTTTCTGTCTTTCTGTATTTCGATATTTCCCATCTTCAATCTCTCCCCTCCCTCTCTTTTTTTGCCTTTTCGTCTTCCAGTCTTTTTATATTTCGTTACATCTCCCTTTTTCTCTTTCTCACTTTCTCTTTTCCAGTTTGTTGGTCTCTCGGCTTTTCTTTATTTTCCTCCTTTATTTCTCTTTCCTGTTTGTCTTTTTGCTGCCTTCATTTCTGTATTCCTTTCTCCCTTCGTACTTTTTTTGTTATTTATTTTGTTCTTTTTCACGTTTTTTTTTTTGTATTATCCTCTACAGGCTACTTATTATCTGTTTTACCTTTCTGTTGTTTTCCTTTCTGTCTTGAACATTTCTGTTTTCAATCTTTTTGTCTTCTTTTCTACCTTTCTGCCTTTCTGTATTTCGGTCTCTACCAGTGTTTCAATCTCTTACCCCCTCTCTCTTTTTCTTTTCTTTCCCTCGCCATATTTCTATCTGTTGCCGTCTTCCAGTCTCTCTATATTTTGTTGTAACTGTCTATTTCTTATTCTTTCTCTCTGTCAGTCTCTTGATCTGTCTATGTTTCTTTCTTTTCCTAATTTCTCTCTTCTTCCCGTTTGTCTTCTTTCTGTATTAGTTTGTATTTTCTTTCTTCCTATATTTCTTTCTATCTTGTACCATCTTTTGTTATTTCTTTCGATCTTCTTTTTTATGTCTTCTTCCCTTTTGTCTATTTTTCTGTATTCTTTCTTTCTCTGTTTTAGCCTTTTTTCCTGCCGTTTTTGCCTTTCTGTATTTAGGTCTATCCCGACTCTCAACCTTTTTTTCTCTTCCGAATTTCTGTTTTCCTTCCCTTCATCTTCTTTCTGTTTTAAATTCTGTTTTATTTCTTTCTGTCCCGTTTTCTGTCTTACTCCTTCTTTTCGTCCTCCTTTCTTGGCTATTTCTTTCATCTATTTCCTTACAGTTTTCTTTTTTTGTCTTATCCTCTACTGTCTACTTACTTTCTATCTTATCTTTTCCTAGTATTTTCTTTTCTGTCTTTTATTCTATTTTCGAACGTTTGTATTTCTGCCATGTGCCATTCTGCCTTTCACGCTTCTGTCTTTCAATTTTCTGCGTTTCTGCCTCTCTCACTTTCACCATTCTGTCTTTCGATTTTCTTACTTTCTGCCCTTCTGACTTTTCGAGTTTGTGCGTTTCGGCCTTTTATCTTTCCGAATATCGATTTTGTGACTTTCTGCCTTTCATCTTTATGTCTTTCGATTTTCTGCCTCTGCCTTTTCGACTTTTCCACCTTTCCCGTTTCTGCCTATTGCCTTTATGCCTATTGCCTTTCTGCCTATTGCCTTACTGCCTATCGCGTTTGTCCCTTTCTGATTTTCTGCCTTTTGCCTTTCTACCATGTGCCTTTTTGCCTTTCACTTTTCTGTCTTTCGAATGTCTGCTTTTTTGCCTTTTTGGTATTCTGTGTTTCCGCCTTCCTACTCTTTTGTCTTTTTGTTTTTCACATTTATGTCTTTCGATTTTCTGCTTTTCTGTCTTTTCGGTCTTCTGCGTTTCCACCATTCACCTTTCTGCCTATCGCCTTTCCACCTTTCACCTTTCTGTCTTTCGATTTTCTGCTTTCCTGCCTTTCTGCCTTTCACCTTTCTGCCTATTGCCTTTCTGCTTTTCTACCTTTTATTTTTATGTTATTCGATTTTCTGACTTTCTGTCCTTCTGCCTTTTCGACTTTGTGCATTTGGGTCTTTCACATTTCTACCTATCGACTTTGTGACTTTCTGCCTTTCATCTTTATGTCTTTCGATTTTCTGCCTTTCTGCCTTTTCGACTTTTCCACCTTTCCCGTTTCTGCCTTTTGTCTTTCTGCCTATTGCCTTACTGCCTATTGCCTTTCTGCCTATTGCCTTACTGCCCATCGCCTTTGTCCCTTTCTGGTTTTCTGCCTTTTGCCTTTCTACCACGTGCCTTTTTGCCTTTCACCTTTCTGTCTTTCGAATGTCTGCTTTTCTGCCTTTGTGGTATTCTGTGTTTCCGTCTCCCTACTCTTTTGTCTTTTTGTTTTTCACATTTATGTCTTTCGATTTTCTGCTTTTCTGTCTTTTCGGTCTTCTGCGTTTCCGCCTTTCACTTTTCCACCATTCACCTTTCTGCCTATCGCCTTTCTACCTTTCACCTTTCTGTCTTTCGATTTTCTGCTTTTCTGCCTTTCACCTTTCTGCCTATTGCCTTTCTGCTTTTCTACCTTTCACTTGTATGTTTTTCGATTTTCTTACTTTCTGTCCTTCTGCCTTTTCGACTTTGTGCATTTCGGTCTTTTATATTTCTGCCTATCGACTTTGTGACTTTCTGCCTTTCATCTTTGTCTTTCGATTTTCTGCCTTTCTGCCTTTTCGACTTTTCTACTTTTCCCGTTTCTGCCTATTGCCTTTCTGCCTATTGCCTTTCCGCCTATTGCCTTTCTGCCTATTGCCTTACTGCCCATCGCTGTTGTCCCCTTCTGGTTTTCTGCCTTTTGCCTTTCTACCATGTGCCTTTTTGCCTTTCACCTTTCTGTCTTTCGAATTTCTGCCGTTCTGCCTTTTCGTCTTTCTCTGTTTCCGCCTTTTTACCTTTCTGTCTTTCTATCTTTCTGTCTTTCATCTTTATGACTTTCGATTTTCTGCCTTTCCCTAGTTTCGGCTTTCTGCATTTCTGCATTTCGCCTTTCCATCTTTTACCTTTCTGCCTATTGCCTTTCTGCCTTTTGCCTTTCTCTCCTTTTGGTTTTCTGCGTTTCCGCCTTTCGCTTTTTTGGCTTTCTGTCTTTCACCTTTCTGCCTTCCTACCTTTCACCTTTATGTCTTTCGATTTTCTGCCTTTCTGCCTTTTCGGCTCTGTGCGTTTCCGCCTTTCACCTTTCTGCCTATCGGCTTTGTGTCTTTCTGCCTTTCTGCTTTTTCCTTTCCTGCCTTTTGCCTTCCTGCCTTTCGCCTTTTGTCTTTGTGCCATGTCTCTTCCTGCCTTTCAATTTTATGTCTTTCAATTTTCCGCCTTTCTGCCTGTTCGAATTTCTATAGTTCCGCCTTTCGGCTTTCTACTTCTCACGTTTCTGCTTATTTCCTTTCTGCCTATCACCTTCGTGCCTTTCTGTCTTTCTGGTTTTCTGGCTTTCTGCCTTTTACCTTTCTGTCATTTGCCATTCTGCCATTAGTCTTTCTGTCATTTACCATTCTGCCATTAGTCTTTCTGTCATTTGCCATTCTGCCATTTGCCTTTCTGCCTTTCACGTTTCTATCTTTCGAATTTCTGTATTTCTGCCTTTCTGGCTTTGTTTTTCGACTTTCTGCCTTTTTGCCTTTGTCTTTCGACTTTCTGCCTTTCTGCCTTTTCGGCTTTCTGCGTTTCAGCCTTTCGTCTTTCCACCTTTCACCTCTCTGCCATTTGTCTTTCTGCCTTCTGCCTTTCGCCTTTCTGCCTTTTTGGCTTTCTGCGTTTTCACTTTTCGCCTTTCTGTCTTTCTACCTTTCTGTCTTTCTACCTTTCCGTCTTTCCCCCTCTTGCCTTCCTCCTTCCTACCTGTTTGTTTTCCTGTCCAGCTTCCTGTCCATCTCTCTCCCTAAATCACCCTGTTTTTTTTTAATATTTGTCTTTCTGAATGTCATTCTTTCTGTCGGCTTTCCTATCAGTTTTCTTGTTTGTCTTTCTCACTGTCTTCCTATCGTGCTGTCTGTCTTTCTTTTTCTCTTTCTGACCAGCTTTTTCTCTCTCTCCCTACCTATCCTTTCTACCTTTCTACTCTTTCAATATCGACAGCAATGCAACTAGTCCCCATTTCGTTGGCATATTCTAGGAAAAAAAAGACAAAGTGAGTCATTCATTGAAAATTCAAAAAATCTGCAGAAATAATTGCCAACTATTTGCTTATTTAATTGAACACCTGTCGATTTCAAGCACTGAAAAATTTATGTCCTTGTTTACGCATTGAAGCGCATTCGAGTACACCGTTCTCTACACGGATTTGCACTGAAATTTCCTCGCCTTTATAATTTCCATCTAACGCAGCTGCTGAGACTTTACTAAAAAATTTCACGAGCATTCTCAAAATTTTACGACCGCCGCCTGACGACTTTTGGCGCGAAACGCTGCCCCACTAAATTATACCTTCCCTTTGTTTTGGCAATTACGTAAGTCCATAAATTGCGCGCTTCATCTCTTTGTCGCTGCATTCAAGATCAAAGCCCCACTTAATTAATAACTATTTCCAGCGAAAAGGTTAACCAGGTGCACTCAAAATTCTCACTCGCCAAGAAAATGTCCAGATGAACTGTTTGGATTGTTTAGTCTACCCACATCACTTCTAATTACCTGCATCTAAAAACCGTAATTGCAGCTGAGCCTCTGAAATGTTGAATTTATTGCGCATGGACTGGGTCCACTTGCTGCAAGTTATTTATTTAAAATTATTATGCTCGCTCAGTTTCAACAGGATTTATTATTGCACTTACAATTTTCATATCTTTAGATGTGGTTTAGTCATTATACAGGTATTTAGTTTATCGAGAAGCAAAAGGCGAACCTTACGTAATAGGGCGGCGTGTGAGAAGAGTTGGACGCGAGAAGTCCCAGAGACTCGACGATTTCGAGCAGGATGGCTATTCCGGGATTTTTCCGGAGATAATGATGATGAATATCGCGCTGACTACTTAACATCGCCTGTGAAAAATGGCCCGATTTTTGAAAGTCTTTATGCACGGAGTCGTTGAAAGGTCCAGTAGTCGGATTAAATTACAAAAGGCCGGTTCCATAAACGTGGTGTCAGGTTAGTATACTGTTGGCGAACTTTGACCCTTACTGCATTGTGCCATCATACTGGTAATTTATTTACTTTAGCGTGCCCCACTCACATACTGGCGAGGTAATGTCTTCACATAAATTTTACGCTTTTGTCTTGCCGGACCCGACGAGGAAATTAAGGACGTCTACGAAACTTGGAGTTTCTAAAGATAATCATAATCGTCCAATGAAAATTATTTACAACAATGAAAACGATGCAAAAGAAGTATTAAAGTCCAACAAAAATAACAAAAACCGAAATAACCATTTTTGTCCGGACTTGACGGAAAGACAAAGGAAGCATATAAATGCAGTTAAGAAAGAATTGCAAGACAGGCTTTCGAAAGGAGAAGACTTGGCTTTGAGATATAAACATAACACTCCTTATATAATTAAACGTAATTCTTCTAAAAATGTCCCAAAAAACTAATAAACTGTTACTATCATAATGTTGGGGGAATAAGATCTAAATTAGAGGAATTTTCAATTAATGTCAATAGTTGTGTTTATGATGTCGTAATAATTATAGAATCTTGGTTATGTGAAAAAATACAAAATGAGGAGTTAATGTTACATAATTTTAATATTTACCGTGCAGATCGCAACGAAATTACTAGTGCCAAATCTCGAGGAGGTGGAGTATTGATAGCCATTAACAAATGTTTGAATTCTTCGATTGTATATATTGGTGAGGTTGTTGAAAGTCTTTATGTTTCTCTGAAATTGAACGGTTCAGCTTTCATCATAGCGGGTGTCTATATTCCTCCGAATTCGCACATTAGTGCATATGAATCACATTGTAATGATATGGAAATAGTGTCAGAAAAATTTCCCGATCATAAATTCATAGTTACAGGTGACTTTAATTTACCTGATATTAAATGGACCCAAAACGGTGTTGAAGGACATGGGCATACTGTTCTTAATCAAGACTGCTACGATGTTGTACTTAGTACTTATTCATTTTTAAATTTAACTCAAGTTAATCTAATTCCGAATAATCGAAATACTTTTCTCGATCTAATCTTTACAAGTGTAACTGAAATGAAAATTTACCCTGCAATTGATCCACTAGTAGGGGATAGTATACATCATATTCCTTATTCGTGGTCGATCTGCACCGCTTCAAATCCATCTCTTGAAATAGAATACACTGTATTCGACTTTGCAAATGGTAATTACTTTCTATTTAATGATTATTTAGCTTCTGTGTGTTGGAATACATGCTTTGAAGGTTATGAGCTTGATGAAATGATAGCGATATTTTATGATATTATATATGAAGGTTTAGAAGTTTATATTCCAAAAAAGGTTATAAAAATAAAATCTTCCAAATACCCTCAATGGTTCAGTTCTGAACTGAAAACACTGTGCTACGAAAAAAGGAAAGCACACGCTATATTTAAACAATCGAATGAACTTCAAGATTACGTTTATTTTAAGAGTTTGAGATCAAAATGTAAACTACTATCGAAAAGTCTTTATAGATCGTATGTGGATACTGTCAGCGTTTCCATTATTAACAATCCTAATGTCTTTTGGAAATTTATTCGAGAAAGGAAAGTCCCTAACAATATTCCAGAAGAAATGTCTTATTTAAATAGAGTGGTGAATGGTGGTAAAGAAGTTGCCAATTTGTTCGCAGAATTTTTCTCATCGGTCTATATGGTTAATGATTCTTCTAAGATAATTGATAGTCAATTTAAAGATGAAGTTATTGATACGGGTTTTATAATAACGATTAAGGATATATTTAACACTATTTCTTCGTTGAATGACTCTACAAATGCTGGACCAGACGGTTTAAGCAATGTATTCTTAAAAAAGTGTATATGTACTTTATCAATACCACTATTTATGTTATTCAGCAAGTCCTTGGATACTGGTGTATTTCCTGATGTTTGGAAACTGAGTTATGTTAAACCTATTTTTAAATCTGGTCAAAGGAACAAAGTTGACAACTATAGAGGTGTTTCCAATCAATCGGTTATCCCTAAAATTTTCGATTCCATCATAGCTAAGCAGTTACAGTGGGCAGTTTCAAAATTACTTACTAATCAACAGCATGGTTTTTGTAAAAATAAGTCAACATTATCCAACCTTTTGGAATATTATTCGTTTCTCAATGAATCATTTGCGAATAAATGTCAAGTGGACGCTGTTTATACAGATTTCGCAAAAGCATTTGATCGAGTGGATCACAATGTATTAATTTCAAAGCTTAATAGACTTGGTTTTAGAGAATATTCCATAAAATGGGTTAAATCGTTTCTTACTAATAGGTGGCAACAGGTTAAAATTGGCAACCACATTTCTGATTATTTTGAAGTTACATCTGGAGTACCCCAGGGCTCACATTGTGGTCCAATTTTATTTCTTCTTTTTATAAATGACTTGAGTTATTGTATTAAATCTTCAAAATTTCTATTCTATGCAGATGATCTAAAGATATATAAACAAGTTTCATCCATAACTGATTGTCAGGAATTACAAAAGGATTTAAATAATATATATGAATGGTGTGAAACAAATTTTTTAAAACTGAATTTAAATAAATGTCATAAAATTACATTTTCTAACAAAAAAAATATGATCGATTATGATTATTATATTGGGAAAAGTTTGCTCAAGCCTGTTAGTGAAATTAGAGATCTAGGCATACTTTTTGATAATAAACTCTCTTTCAAAAGTCATTATCGATACATATTTAACAAGGCTCTGCAGATGTGGGGATTGATTTGGCGCCATTGCAAGGATATGAGCTCTCATGCACTTAAAGTGCTATATTGCTCTCTCGTGCGTTCTGTTCTGGAATATGCTTCTTCAGTTTGGCATCCAACATGCGACACTCATATTTCATTGTTAGAGCGTGTTCAAAAAAAGTTTTTGAGGTCTATTGAATTTAAAGAACATCATCTACATCAACAAGGTGAATATGAATGGGTCATGAGCTTCCTCAATATTAAATCCTTGGAGATACGTAGAGATATAACGGATTTATGTGTTCTTCACGCCATTATTAACAACCATATAGATAGTAATGACTTATTAGCCAAACTAATGTTTAGGGTTCCAAATAAAAACTGCAGAACTACTAGATCTTGTAAAATTTTCAGAATTAACAAAGCATCTACTAATATGTCAACTAACCACCCATTGCGAAGAATGATGAAACA